ATGCACTAGGTTATGTGATGCTATAGAATCACAGAATGGTTTGGGTTGGAAGGGACCTTAAAGATCATCCAGTCCAACCCCATGCCACGGGCAGGGACACCTCCCACCAGATCAGGTTGCCCAAAGCCCCATCCAACCTGGCCTTGAACACTTCCATGGAGGGGCCATCCACAACTTCCCTGGGCAACCTGTGCCAGTGTCTCACCACCCTCGCAGTAAAGAATTTCCTCCTCATGTCTAGTCTAAATCTACCCTCTTCCAGTTTAAAACCATTACCTCTCATCCTAATGCTACCTGCCCTGGTAAAAAGTCCCTCCTCAGCTTTCCTGTAGACATCTTTGAGGTACTGGAAGTTGGCAATGAGGTCCTCCTGGAGCTTTCTCTTCTACAGGCTGAACAGCCCCAGTTTTCTCAGCCTGTTATCGTAGGAGAGGTGCTCCAGCCCTCTGATCATTGTTGTGGCCCTCCTCTGGACCGGCTCCAACAGCTCCAGGTCCTTCTTGTGCTGAGCGCTCCAAAGCTGGATGCAGTACTCCAGGTGAGGTCTCACCAGAACAGAGTAGATGGGCAGAATCACCTCTCTCTATCTGCTGACCCACACTTCTTTTGATGCAGCCCAGGATGTGGTTTGCCTTCTGGGCTGTGAGAACACATTGGTGGCTCATGTCCAGCTTTTCATCCACCAGTACCTCCAAGTCATTTTCCATAGGGCTGCTCTCTGTCACATCATCTCCCAGCCTTATTGATAATGTGGATTGCCCCTGTCCGGGTGCAGGACTACTACCCTCTGGATGCAACCATCCAGCCAATTCTTATCCACTGAACAGTCCACCCATCAAATCCATACCTCTCCAACTTAGAGAAAAGGATGTTGTGGGGAACCATGTCAAAGGCCTTGCAGAAATCCAGATAGATGACATCCATAGCTCCTTCCTTGACCACTGATGTAGTCACTCCATTGTAGAAAGCCACTAGGTGGTCAGGCAGGACTTGCCCCTAGTACAGCCATGCTGGCTGTCTCGAATCACCTCCCTATCCTCCATGTGCCTCAGCACAGCTTCTAGGAGGATCTGTTCTATGATCTTCCCAGGCACAAAGGTGGGGCTGACAGGTCGGTAGTTCCCAGGGTCCTCCTTCCTACCCTTTTTAAAAATGGGTGTGATGTTTCCCTTCTTCGAGTCACCAGGGACTTCACCTGACTGCCGTGACTTTTCAAGTATTACGGAGAGTGGCTTGGCAACTACATCAACCAACTCCTTCAGGACTCTGGGATGCATCTCATCAGGTCCCATGGACTTGTGTATGTTCAGGTTCCTCAGATGGTCATGAACCTTATCTTCACTTACAGTGGGAGGGATGTTGCTACATTAACTCTACTTGTTCTGTAACTGGTTATGTCACCACAAATCATGTGACAGTCTTAGAATTTTTTTTTCCCTTCTGGACAGGTAGTGTGGAGTTTGTTTCCCTTTAGAACTGATTTTCTCTTCTATTTCCCACTACCCAAACTGTCATTCTGTATCCTTCAGTCTCTTTAGTTGTCCTCCTATAAAGCATTTGGGGCGGAGGGAGGAAAAGGGAGGTAGTTCCTTTAGGGAACCTCTAATGCCCTTGGTATTGCTAGGAAGATTCCTCTGCCCCTCATAGGAAAAACCTTTGGCCTGGGCAGCAAATCATCATTGAATCTGCTGGTGCTGAGCAGAGACCTCTTCATGTGGTTAATGGTGACATCCACAGAGGTGAATGGCTATTCCATTCGATGAACAACAGCCTCTATAGGATGAAGGACAGCCCAGCTTCTGCAAGAATATCTGTCATCTTGAACATCTTGATGGGTAAGCATTGCTAAAAACTATGGAGTCCTTATAAGTTATTTTCCCCTTGAACTGAAGACTTTTCCCTAATAGTTTCTTTCAACAACAAGAAGCCCAAGAGCATGAAGTGGTATCATCCCTGAGGGCCAGCTGTTTTAGTGTTGCAAACCAAGGGAACTCTATTTTCAACAGAACTAGTTCATCTGAAGAAATAGCCCTCCAACTGTATGGATTGATCGCCCCATGCAGGTAACCTGAGGCTCAAAGTGAGTTTATTGTACACGTATTTTCAAACAGCCAGTAGTCTGTATAGCTGAGGCAACATCAAGGAATCATAGAATAATTATGGTTGGAAAAGACCTTTAAGTCCAACTATTATCTAACTCTACCATGCCCACTTCCACACCATGTCCCAACACCTCGTGTGCTGCCTCTTGTTGCTAGTGAGAAGTGAAACTCAAGCAGGTAACATGCAAAATGCATGTGAAGGGGCAGGATCACGGAATTCATTTTGGTTCCCTAATACTTTATTAAAGTAATAAAAATGCCCTTGTGATCCCAATGCACTTGCCATAACTTAGCAAGACCGCAATTAGCAATTAATGCTATTTAATAAATATGCTGATTAACTCAGGCACCAGTAATCAGTAATTGCACAGATAAATTACAAGCTTGACCAGTCAGCAGTGTGAAACAATCATATGGAAACAATACATTAATTCTGCTTAAAATTCCATTTTAAGGTTGAATTTGGGCATCCTTCTCTAATGTCCAGCAGAAGTCTTCTTCAAACATTGCAGATACATTTGGCTATCAAAGGAGTCTGTATGTCTTCATTTTGAGTTTGTTGCTGAACAGGGGACAAAAACCTCATCTCTTATTTGGGGGGCGGGGGAGGCTGTGAGAAAGGGAAGAATCGCATTCAAGGTTCAATTTTAACATAAGGAAAAACTTCTTTACTGTGAGGGTGACAGAGCACTGGACCAGGCTGCCCAGAGAGGTTGTGGAGTCTCCTTCTCTGGAGACATTCAAAACCCACCTGGATGCGTTCCTGTGTGACCTGGTCTAGGTGATCCTGCTCTGGCAGGAGGGTTGGACTGGATGATCTTTGAAGGTCCCTTCCAACTTCTAACATTCTGTGATTCTGTAATTAATTTGTGGTCTGGAAATTCATAATGCCTTTTTTTGGGTTTGTAATTCAGGAAGGCTTTGAAAGAACAAGATTAAATGTAGGTTTTCAAACCCAAATGATGCTGATAAATCCAAGTCCTAGAGTAGACACTTTCGGCACTTGAAGGCATTCGGCAGGCTTGGGAATCCCATAAAGCATCCACAGTAATTCCTCGCACCTCCCTTGGTCTTCACTTAAGAACAGGGTCCGCCAGGTATCTCTCAGGGATGGAGCTTGCTCTAACAGGGCATCTTGTTCAGGTAGGCCCCATCTGGGGCTTCGAAGCTTGACTTCTTCATTGCACTTCCCATTCTGAGGACTTGCATCCATGGAGCCCCTGAATACAGCACTCCTCCCATCTTCCAGCATCCTCCTTCCACAAACCCATATTCTTAAGGTTAAATATTAGCCAGCAACAGCTCACATACATAGGATATGACATTATTGAGTAAATGTATAATTACTGAAGGGAGTTTCCGAGGGAGGAGGTGTAAGCTGCACAGCTTCTCCAGGGCCCATCCAATGTTGCAGAGAAGCCAGGACACGGAGCAGCTGGGTGAGTGGTATGCTCACCTTGTCTTCTTCCCTCACCTGCTGCCAGCACACAGCCCATCACGGGAGAGAGTGGGGGGAAGGTGGTGACGGGCAAGGGATTTCAGGCTTATGGTTGCCATGAGATTTACTTAATTTTGCCATTTCATTTGCCCTGTATCCATGGCATTCATTATATACTGTATCCTGAAAAGTTGCTCGGCAAAGTGTGCCAGCTGCTGTGGCAGGGCTGGTCTCAGCAGAAGGCAGTCCTGTAAATGACTTGCTGCTGACCTTTGATTTGAGTACCAATATTTAGCAAGCAAATATTTAAAACCACATCCATTAAGAAGGAAGGCACAGCTTTACTTTTAGGAACTTGGGCAAGGTGTGCTGCTGAGAAGGGCCCAGGCTTTGCAGGAGAAGGGGCAAGCAGCCTTCTTCCCCTCCTCTCCTTCTCCCATCAGAGCATCCAGCCCTGCCCATCATGCCCACACCAGGGAAGGGGCAGATGCTTAGACACCAACAAGGCAGATGGCTGCTGTGCCAAGCAAGGCAGGACTTCTAAAGCCCTGGAAGGCTGGGTGAAGCTGTTTCAACCCCAAAGGCAAAATATGAGTGGCCATCCCTCCTGCTCACATTGCCTGCTACTCCACTCAAGCAGAGGCTGTGTGACGGGGAGCTTACCTTGCCAATCTGTCTGCCCAGTGTGACCACAGCATAGCTGGCCCCAGAGGACTGTCCCCAGCCACTGGTCTGTTGCTGTGGCTGGGAACCACATACTGACAAGTCTTCAACAAATCAACTGGTCTCAGTCAGGTGCAGCTACAGGCCCAGAGGGTATTTTTCCCTCAGGGGTGGTGCAGAATTAGCTCTGTTCGTCAGTTTAAAATTAGATACTTGCACTAACAGTATTCTTTCTGTTGGATTTTTATAGTTTTGTGTCTTCTTTTTTAATAATGAAAAATAATCAGTCTTAAAATAATAATTAAAAAATACCCTGGAAAAAGTGATCTATAAAAAGAGAAAATCCTTGCCAGGGGGACACCACAGCAGCAAGCCCAAGCCACAGAAAGCCTGGTCGCAGGCTTCCCTTTTCCACAGCTTCTCAGAGGTTAACCAGGGTCTGTAAGCAAACAGCTTAAAGAAAGGAGCCCGGCTTAGTGCCTGGGTGTCTGGGGCTGTCCTGGGGACTGCCAGCCTAATGCCCTTCCAGCGGCCCCTCCCTCCCAAAGGCGATGCTCAGCAAACAGAGCCAGCCCTCGCCCTCTCCCCAGACAGCGGGGACACGGGACTGGGCCCGGGCTGGGGTTCGGGAGGTGGCAGAAGAGGGTGTTTCACTTTGTACGGGCGCGGAGCCATGTATATATAAACCCTGGAGCAGCAGCCCGGAAGGATTGTTAAGCACACTCGCACCTCAGCTCTCTTGGCCGGAGTCCCCGTGCCCGAACCCCAGCGTACAGGAGCCTGGGAGCGATCTGCCCATGGGCTCCCGCCGGCTGCTGGTGCTGATGCTGCTTCAGGCAGGTGAGTTCCATCTCTGGGTCCCTCGCCCTCCCTGTGCCTCCCCTCATCCTGGGACAGCCTCTCCCTTTGCCATCAGCTTTGCCTGCTTCACAGCAGGCACCTCGATATGGTTTGGCCAAGCGCTCCTTGCCTCTTTTCAACTTTATATACTGAGGGGCTGTGTAAGTGCGCTGCCTGCCTGCCTTGCTTCCCTGGCAGTTTACATAGCTGGGGCTGTTTAAACATGGGTCATTTTCTTTCTGGATAGTTTCCTGCTCCAAAGTTGCTGGTGTCTGTGTTTCTTCACAGTGATACTCTCTTTATACCAATGTCTGTGGAGTAAGCAGTTTTCAATTCATGTGAAATTAAAATAATTTTTTAAAGCCTGTTAAAAAAGCCATAAATGTCTGCTAACGTAAAACCCCTACAGACAGAGTTGACACGACCTGCAGTTATACCTGCAGTAGAGTTTTAAAATAAAAACAAAACCCTTGCCTTAATCTGCAGCAAAGGCTGCCTGTTTAAGCAGGAAATAGAAAGTGTGAGTTGTCAGATCCTCCTCCACTTACCTCCCTGCAGGTATGTTTTCTGCTAAGGTGCCCCATTAGTAGTATAACTAATGATTGGACATGCTCCTAATGGGAGACATGGCTAAATTCTGGCTGCTCTGGAGACTTGGACTTTTTCATTACTTTCCCAGCAGTACTGGCTTGGCTGCCCAGCATGGAAAAAGTAATTTTGGTTCTTGGTCAAGTTATTAGCCTTGCACCTGAATATTGAAATGTACTTGCTGGGGCTGACCTCTCAGCTGCAGCGACCCGCTGTCAGCTCAAAACCCAGCCAGCTTTCAAAGAACGATGCCCGTGTTATTTCAAGCTCTTGCAGAGTGTGCAGCCCTAAGCGTTGTCTTTTGGACTTAATTCCCTTTGAGGCTTTCTCTCCGCTTTCATGAGCACCTCTGTACTGTAATTACAGTTCCTTGATCCTCAGAGATATCCCCAAAAGAAGAACGGCCTTTCTTCTTCTGGGTGAGGTGCAATTACCTTACACCAACCTCAGCTGTTTTCAGCAGCCAATAGACCAAGTCCAGCGATCCTGGCTAAGAGGTCAGTGAAAGAGAGCCTAAAAAAAAAAGTAAGCTGCTCATTTTTGTCTCTATTGGAACATTTTGGGGGTCTGCAAACTGAAGCAGGTAGGAAAAATATGATTTTTAACCTGAAATCCAGAGCAGCTCACTGCTTGTGATTTCCCTTGGGGTTCCTGAGAACCGAGCCTGCTTCTAACTCTATAGCCGTTGCTGTTTAGACAAGGGAAATAGGTCGTCTATTTAGTCTCAAATAGCATCCATCTAATGTGTTTTTAGCACACAACCTGAACACTAAAGTAGTGTTTAGGTGAGAGGCCCAGTTGTTTTTTCAGGAATGTGCATTTAATCCCCAAGGAATGCCCCAGAAAGCATAGGGAGGCTGTGCGAAACCCCATGCTGGGACTGCCCAAGTCACTGATCACCAGGCCAAAAATGGTGGAGGGCACAGCT